GGAACAGAGAATCACAGAACAAAAATGTAGAACGAAAATCGGAAAAATCCCCGTCTAGCCGTAGACTCGACACGACGAGCGACCGTGTAAACTCGATAAACGAGATTTCCTATCGCCGGAAACCGGGTGCAACGCTCGAATCGGCCGGATCGCGTGACCACGTCCCACTGCGCGCAACTCACGATCGGGATACTTATGTGTCGCTCGATTGATACATACCACTTTGCCCCGCCGATAAATTATTGCCGGGAACTACTCCGAGAAGAGATCGTTGATTCGATGTTAATGGGAGATTCAAGTATTCACGGTATTCTGGAAATCGCGGCGCAACCGAAGACGAAGAAGTCCCTTTCCCGGGGAGATTAAGTCGGGAACGTGGAATACGATCATTTCGTATGATCTTCCGCCGGTTCCGAGAGATAATCAGCTTTAAAAGTTTGATACGCACGCGTCGGGCTTCGAAGTAGAAGCGGTCGGTCACGAACAGGCAAGTTAGTAGCCTCGCTTTCAGAAAGAATCTTTTCTTTCAGTGTTGCGGCACGATTCAGAAATGTATGCGTACTACTAAGAGCTAAGAACAGATGGTCTTTCTTAATACTAGAACTACCGTACCAGTTAAAATGACTGGTTTCGATTTTTTTGTTTAGCAATTATTGATATCTTCGAAGCATTGAATACTCGAAATGATTTTGAAAGTAAATAGTTTCATTTCAGTACTATGATGAATGTCTGAAGAAACTGAAAATAATCTATTATTACAATTTTTATAGGAATTGCATATTAATCATATTAAATGCTCGGTAGTTCCAGTATTATATATTAATTGCTTGGTTAATAAGAGAAAGGAAATTATACTAATCTGTTGCTATTCGAGCAATTTGATCGTTTGCGTGTTAGTCTTCGAAATATGAAGATTTGATCCCTGAAATGTTGATATTCTTCAGGAAAGGGTTAATTAATCGAGTATAATATTAATCTGCAGCTGCTGCTTTTCGATTCCTCAAGGTTCGTGACGTTTCGAATGATTCCTACCTGTACAGATTGAGGTAGCGTCTTTTAGCGAACAGTACAATAATCATTGCACTGTTTCGCTTTCGATGTAAGATTCAGTGTATTATCGGAAACAATTGGAAGCGTAGACGCTCGACAATTGGAGATTGAACGTTTCCGCTCGGAATTGCACGTTCCACCAGAAAACTGATGCGTTAACCCGCGCTGACAATTCTGACGTATTTATATTCGAATGATATCTTACTCGAGCAATCTCGAGGTATCTCCCGGAATAAAAACAGCAGCGAAAAAGCATCATAATTCAGAACACGAAGAGTTAAATGGAGATTGAACGCTTTATCGTCCAGGATCCCCGGTTTCCCTTGCAGCGATAAATAATCGTCCCTTTGTACTGTGCTGCACAAACCCACATAGCCCGCAATAAATACTACCCGCTACTTTGCTCATCCCCGGGCATTGTTCGGCGACGTTCATTATCATGTAATAAAGACGTGATAATATTGGCTGGTTTACCGGTATTGTTTACCGGCGCCCCGTGTCGCGGCTGGGACCGCCGATCCGATTCGACGGATTTAACCTCTTAGGCGCGACTGAATTTTGCGCGCGACTGTTCCTCTGCACGGCAGAGTTCAACGTGAATTACGTGTAAACGATACAGCACTGCAATGTGTGACAATGCTGTTCTCTACGCGAGTACACTGGAATGAAGTTTCTGATAATTAAATTATAATGTTTCTTAAACATATGATACGCATAATTTAACTTTAATAATTTACTTTAACAATTAACCCTTTGCACTCGAGAGGTGACTCTCAGTCACCACTTGATTTTATTTGCAAAATTATAAAGTCTTATATATAATATTAACCTTTGCATGATGCACCAATATGTGCAATATTGAAATGAAATAACTGTCCTCCTCAATGTATATATGTTTGCTCATTAATTAATTTCAAAGAACATCGTCTGTATCTCATCGCAGAATATTGAATATGTCTAGTGAAAAATTTTCGAGTGCAAAGGGTTAAAAGTCGGTTACTGAAAATTAACAATGTTATAACATTTTTTAGACCTTCAATTCCCTTCTCAGTAGAAACTTTGTATATCTGGAAGATTTAATAATCTTAAGGTAGTTTTCTTAAAATTCATTAAAATATTTAATATTAGAACTGGTGCAATATTGAAGCCCACAGAGTTCAAAGGGTTAAAGCACGTACTTCACATCTTCACATAGCGCGATCTTCCTCAATATCATTCTTTGAACATACGATACAATTTCCTAACGCTGTTTTAGATGTTTTGGACTTACAGTACGATGGAAAATGTTTTTCGGATAGTCTAAACGGGTGATCAACAATATATTTTCTGCAGCTAACGTTATTATTCATATCCCCGTATTTTTTAAAAATTTCTTTGAGTAATCTAAGGTGAAACACTCGCATTGTTACCTTCTCTTTTTCTTCAAGCTTACATAAACAATAATTTTGTTGGCATATCCATGTAAACGAACCCTGGAGAATTTTCACCGGTTTGTTCCGCATCGGACGGAACACTGGCGTATCAAAATCAAAGACTGTATATTGTTAACACTAAAATTACCGAGCACTTCAATTGACTTTTTAAAATTTCGCTACAAAAACTCCAAAAGTGCATTTGTTCAGTCTTTAATTGATTTACAATTCAATTTGCGTAGTGCTAAATGAATTTCTTTAATAATTTCTCAGAGAAACATTTGTTACCTTTCTAATAATTGCAAAAAGAAGACATCAGGCATGGGTCATTTGACCCCTCTGGTAGTTTTAGCGTTAATACCGTTACGAATCGATGTGAAGGCAAAAAAAGTGTGAAACAAAGCATATGAAAACGATCAATTAATTCAAACAGTGAGCGAGGGAACCACTATAGTTGGCGTGTCGTTCAGAAAGATGACATCCGCGAAAGTCACTATAGTTGTGCGTCGTGCCTAAGAGGTTAACGCCGGAAACTGGGGGAACTAACTCCGCGCGCCGCCGCCTTCGAATAAAGAAGCGGCCGGACCAAGATGGACGCGCGCGGCGGAGCTTCTTTGTCGGGTCGTCGTATAGTTTCCTCGCGGCGTGACCCTTCCCCTTTCTCCTGGAGGACGGACACCGACGCCAGACCGAAAACAGAAGGCGCGGACCAAGGGCTGTGCTATCTAGAGCGAGACTACCGGCCAAGCACTAAATTGGTCTCGAAACTTTGCGATCGTACGGATCGTTTATGGCTACTCTTCCATGGGCCATCGATTCGGGGGAAACGGTCTCGCTTTTTCGACCGACGGACTGCCACCGGCTATCGAAAACAAATCCCGTCGGGGCGCAGGAGTGCAAGCTAATCGGGAACTTGGTTAGATTAACCCTTTGCACTCGAAAGTTTTTCACTAGAAATATTCAACACTCAATGTAAATAATTTAATCGATAAATTAAAGGACAAAACCATTTTAATTTAATATTTCACATAGTGACGCGTTATACAAAGTTTAATGTTAAACATCAAACTTTATGATTTTACTGTATCAAACCAAGTGGTGACTGAGTCACCTCCCGAGTGCAAAGGGTCAAGTTTAAAGGTAAAATTGTATCAATCGATGAAGGAGATCTACTTCTTAGCAACGCGTCTTCCATCATTTTTTCCGTCATTCTCTTATGTTC